CCAACCATCCGCTATAAATACCAGACTGCTATTTACGAGCGAGGTATTTATATGGCTTTCCCTTCTCGCTGTCGATCTCCCCGTCAGGCCAAGCATCATCTGTCTGAAGGCAGAAACAGCACAGGGCAGGAGCCCTGCCTTTAGGGACCCTCCTCTCCTGTGCAAAGGGTTGGATGGGGTGGTGAGGGCTGGGGGGCATCCTGCAGATGATGGGTGCAAGGAGGGGAAGGAGGCTCTGGGTGCCGCATCCAGCATCACCACGCTCCTGACATCCAGGAGGTGCTGGATCTGGGGCTTTGGGGCTGGATGGAGCCTAAGACAGATGCATGGAGCCCACAGCCACACAGTCCCAGTCCTACGTATTGGGTATGGCAGCGTCACCTATGAAACTCTGCCTAAAATCCGGGGTGAGGGCACAGAGCTGAGAGCAGAGGTCACTGTCAGGATCACGAAGTCGGGATGAGAGCTGACACTGAGTTTCCTGCAGGATGGCTTCGAGCAGCACTGTAGGGCTGCTACCCACCATTCCTGGTGGCTTTGTGGTCCCCCACACGTATCTGGGCACTGTGTGTACCCACAGAGCACCTATGGGGAGCGTGAGCATCTCCCCATGCCCCCGCATCTTCCTGCTGCCATCCCCCACCAGCTGCACAGGGCGAGGCTGTGGGCTGCCAAAGGATCTCCAGTGGGAGGTGATGGAGTGAGGTGAGGTGCCAAGTCCCTGCGTGACCGCAGCCCCAGTGCCCTCGGGACACCTAGCAAGGATTGTTTCCCACACCATAACCCAAGTGCCACCTCCCATGCCCATGATGCTGCCCACACCTCGTGTCCCCACGCCGTGCCCGTGCTCGTGTTGGTGCCAACGCACACGCCGTGTCACGCAGGCTGCATCGGGGGGGGGGGGGGGGCCGCCCCCCCCCCCGCGCCCCCCGGGCGCCCCCCCCCCCCCCCCCCCCCCCCCCCGCGGGCTGCAGCGGCCCGACCCCAGCCCCTGCCAAGCCCGGTTGCCGGTGACCAGTTATCCCAGTGCCGACCAGCAGAGGGGATCAGTGATCCGCATAACCACCAGTGCCCCGCACCAGCCCCAGCCCCAGGGCACCCCGCAGCTCCTGCGCTGCCCTCTGCACCGTTGGAGCTTGCCTGTATGTTTTACAGGACCCGGGCTTGCATTCAGCACGCTTGGAGCTGGATATTGTGCCACCATCACGGCCTGTGCCAACGTCCCATGCTCTGCGGGGGTGCCCTACTCCCATCCCCATGCCCCATACCCTCGACCATGGTGGTGCCCATGCCCCCTGCCAGTATCCGTGCCCAAGTCCCGTGCTCTACATCCATGCCCTACTCCCATGCCCCGTACCCATCACCACACCGATGCCCATGCCTACACTCCGTGCCCAGCTCCATGTCCCTGTGCCCATGCCCTGTGCTATGCAGATGCCCATGCCCCATGCTTGTGCCCTTGTCCCATGCCCTGTGCCGATGCCTAGTGCTGGTGCTCATGACCGTGTCCCATGCCCTGAATTCATGTACTGTGTCCATTTCCTGTCCCCATGTCCCATGTTCATGTCCCATGCCCTGTCCCCATGTGTTGTGCCCATGCCCCATGCCCTGGTCCCCATACCCTACCCCCATGCCCTACCCCCATGCCCTATGCCCATGCCCCTGCCCTGTGCCCATGTCCCATGCTCTGTCCCCATGCCTAGTCCTCATGCCCTGTGACCATGCCCTGCATTCTGTCTCCATGCTCTATCCCCATACCCTGCCCCCACGTTCTGTCCAATGCCCTGTGTCCATGCCCCATGCCCTGAACCCACAGCCATTGTGGTGCCCACTCCCACAACCCACACCATGTTGGTGCCACACCGGTACCCATCTCCACATCCTACATCCTTTGCCCCAAGCCCTGTTCCCAGCTCCCATGTCCAGCTCAAGCAGCATGCTGTCACAGAGGGCTCTGAGCTGGGGGTTGGGGGTGAGGGGGGGCTCAGTCCTGCCCAGGATCCAGCCCTGAGTCAGCGCAAGCCGGAGGCGCAGCAGCCCTGATTCAGCACACTGTAATCACGGTGTTATCTCAGAGTGCTGCTCCAGCCCAATAAATCCTGCTGAGGCCAGAGGGATGCGGGGTGCCCCAGCCCACGGGACATGTCCCCATAGCCAGGGACACAGCTGGGCAGAGCTCCCTGCGGCCTTATCAACACAGAGAAGTTGTATTGCAGCAATTACATGGCTGTTAATTATCGCACCAAGGCCAGTTGCTGTGCAGCGAGGAGTGAACAGCCCCCACAGCACAGCCTGGGAGGAAAAGGAAAAAACACAGAGCTTGCTTCTCACGTCTGAGAACGGGAAATCAATCTTTGCTTCACTGACAACCTCACCCTGCGTGTAATGACTGCAATAACTCAGCACGTGGTTTGCAATGTCAGTCCTGCAGGCTACAGGCTACAAGGGGAGGGCACAGAGGGGTTTGTCCCCACAGTGCTGAGCTGGGTGTCACACTGAGCAGATGTCACCCATGTGCTGAGGGCTGTGCTGGCTCAGGGACTCTCTCTCAGATGCTGGTGGTGACTGTGTGGTCCCAGCAGCTGCCTGGCACCAGAGTGTATTCATCTCCCAGGCTGCACTCAGAGAGAAATCCTTCATTCCCAAGCCAGCCTGTCCAACTGATAATTTAGGCAGCTCCAGACAGATAAGCATTATTTACATCTGTTTAGTGAGATGTAATTAGCTGCAATGATTGGGCTCTATCACGGTGCCATTTTTAAAAATGACTCTAAGTGGAAGGAAAGGGGGGGGGGAGTACACATGGGACTGGGGGTTATGTGCATCATCCATCCCTCGGCTCCTCCAGGGCGGCCACCCCGAAAGTGCCCAACAGAGCCTGGGGCTTCCCTGGCACACAGTGGGGCTGGACGTAAACACCATCCCCTGGAGCTCAATGGGGACAGGATGTGTGTCCTGGGGACATGTGGGGGACAGGCTGGGAATAGGTTGGGGATAGGAATAAGATACGCTGGGGACACATTGGGAACAAGTTGGGGGCAGGCTGCGTGGGCATCAGGGCCGTGTCTGCACATCTCACCCAGCCACCATAGGCTGGAGCTCGGCGCTTGGGTGCTCCCAGTGCTCCCCAGGCAGCTCTCTCCATCCCTTCCTTCTCAGGCACCAATGGGACCACGGGAGCAGAGGAAGCCCGGACCAGAAATGCGTGCAGGGATGATTTCCTCTGCAGACAGGAAAGCTCTGAGCAGGGCTTCAAGTGATGCCGCTGCCGAGCTTTGAGCCTCCAGACGCTTCCTGCGATGACAAAAGGCTTCCAGCTGAAGTTCCTTCATTTCAGCCCCAAAGGCTCTGCAGCAGAGTGTGTCCCTGCTACTGCTGTCCCCTATGGGGTTATAGGGCTGGGCTTGTTGTCGAGTGGCTGTTGGAACACAGAAATGCCCTCTGTGTCTGAGCTGAGGCCTCCAGGCTCCGTCGACGCTCTATTTCTGCAGGCAGCAAACACAGCCTTCCTGTCTGCAAGTCAACAGTATCACTATTTTCTATTCCCACCTTTCAATTCAAGAGCTTTTTCCTATTTAAGAACCACGTCAGCAGGTGAAGGAGACAGGTAAGGGCCCAGTGTGCAGTGCTGGAGTGGTTACCTGCATTGATCTCTCACTTCGCAGTGCTTCATACCACTTTTTGGTCTATTGGGCAGGACGCCATGTGCTCTGCTGCAGTTACATGTATTGCTCGCTGTGTTTCTCATGGGATTTCAACATTATGGCCAATGAAACCAGCTGAAAGCAAGCATGTTGGTGAGGGTAAAGCGCCCTTATGGGGCATTTCAAAGGGAAAGAGGCAAGGCTCTGTTCTCCCGGCCGCCAACGCAAGCAGCTTTTTGGGACTATGCTGGTGCCATGGCCATGAGCATCCTCCCGTCCTGCACAGCCCGTGGTCGGCCCAGAGCTGCTATTTCGAGCCGGGTAAACAGGATGCACGGTGCACAGCCACCTCCTCTCCTCCCGCTCCTCGTGGTTAAACAGGCAGGGAACAGCCGGAGCGCTACGCCTTGCCTTCCTCCTATTCCTCCCCACGGCTCGGCTGCCCGCTGGCTGCACCCAGAGCCGTGAGGTCCACGCAAACCTTCCCACGGCCGCGTCCTGCAGCGGGGATCCCGCACGGCTGCTTCCGCCTCCTGCTCCGGGAACGAGAGGCAGCGCAGCGGCGTTGGAAGGAGGAGCTCCGCACCGCTTCCTCCGACTGCTTGGTTCCCTTTGCGGTGTACGGCAGCGTGGACCTGGGGCACAGCACTGCCCAGCTCCATTGAGGTGTGCGGTGGCGTTTTGCTTGGCTGGTGGAGCGTAACCCATCCCAGACGCCCCAGTTTGATGTTTCCCCAGGTCTGGGTGCTGCTGGCACCTTCCTGGTCTCGCACCCGCGGCTGCAAAGCGTTTTGGAGCCGTGCGTGCTCTGCACGGAGGCTCTCCCCAAGCTCTGCACACACCAACCCCCCCCCCAACACTTTGCACCGAGAGCACTTCCACGCCGAGCTGGGTGTGGGCGCGCAGGTAGAGCGCGTGTTGCAATCGCCCTCTGAAGCAATGTCAGAGCGGAGGCCGCTGCCAACAGAGCTGGTTTGCCTGGCGCCAGGAGCCGCAGGAGTTGGCCCAGAGCCAGCAGCGCTGGGGAGGGGAGGGAGGAGCGGGCGAGGGGGGGGAGGGGGAAGGTGGGGGGCACGGAGGTGCTGTTTGGGGATTAAAACCGAAGTGGTGCCCCCCCCCTCTTCTCCCTCCCCGATCCTCCCTTCTCAACCTTCCTTAACCCTCCTCCAGCCCATCCCATCCCATCGCACACGAAGGCGGAGTGTTGGGGGGGGGGGGGGGGGTTGGGGGCGGCGGGCGCGGCCGGGCGCGGAGCGGAGCAGAGGGAGTGTTCGGGGGCGGCTCCGCAGCGCCGCGGCCGTCAGAAGCGGGACCGCACCATGGGGCTGCGCTCCTCCTGAGCACCGCGCTTTTCCCCGCTGAACCCCCCCACCCCACCCCACCCCCCCCCGGCCCGGCGCCATGGGCGATGTGCTCTCCTCTCACCTGGACGAGAGCCGCCGGCAGCACATCGCAGGTGAGAGCCCGAAACTCGAGGAGGGAAAGGCAGGGGGTAGGGGAGGGAGGGGTGGGGGGACCCCGCGGTGTTGCCACCTTCAGCCCTCCTCACCCCCTCCCCAAAACTTTTCTCCGACTTTCAAACTTTTCACTCCTGCTCATTTCGTATCATTTATTCTTCCTCTGATTTATTTATCTACTGTTTTACCCTGCCTCCCCCCACCCCCCCCCCCTCCTCCCATCCGAGCTACCCCTGCGTTCTGCCTCTCCCCGGCCCTTTGGGGTGGGTGTGCGGGTTGGGGGCTCTCCCTCCTCCCGGCTGAAAGGCGCAGTTGTGCGCGGTGTTTGTGTTGGCCCCCGCTCGGTGGGGAGGACGAGATGCTGGCAGCCCGGTTGTAAAAGGGGTTTTGCTGATGGTTGGGATCCCGAAAGAAACTTTTCTCCTTCCTACCGGCGCTGTGGGGAGGCCTCCAGAGGAACTTTCTGCTCCCTGTTGTGGTCAGGGGGTTTCTCAGGGGCTTTGGGGCGGCCGGGAGGAGGAGGGTGACAATGGGGTCATTGAGAAACCCTACAGCTGTGCAGTGGCTGATGGAGGATGCCGGAGCCCCGACAAGCGTGGTTTTGTGTGGGGCTGCCTGCAGGGCTGTGTGTGACCCCCCAAAACAGGGTCACCCTCCCATCCCCCAGCACTGCCCCTGCTGTAATCCAGCAAGGGCTCACTTCCATCACCACGGCTCAACCTCCGGCCCCTTTGCTCCCAAACCTCTCCCCCCACAGAGCACCCCACGTGCTGCACCCCACGCAGCAGTGTGACTGCAGGGTCCCCCCATGCAGTGCCAGGCAGCAGCAGGGACGCGGCTCTCCCTTTCTGTGCCTACATTTCACTGTGTGATGGCCCCGAAGTGGGGAACAGAGCTCACCCCGCCTGCCAGGCCCTGCGGCCGGCTCGCAGGAATGCTTACGTGGTATGTGGAGCAGCAGGACGCCAGCAGGTTTGCGAGCTTTGAAGCTGAGCCTGCAATGAGCTGCGGTGTGCATTGCACGGCTTTGGGACTGTGGGATTAGGGCTTCCCGGTGCGCCGTACCCCAAAGCATGTCCCATGGCACCAAAACGTGTCCCTCTCTCAATTCCGAAGAGCACAGCCAGGGGATCCCACTGGGAACCTCTCTGCAGGGCCAGACATGGGGTGTCTGCCAGTCAAGTAGCAGCACCGGGGTGTTGCGCTGTGGGATTCAGCCCGTGCTTGGGGGTCTGGGGGCTGCGGGTGACTTGCTGTGGGTCTGTGCACTATGGCTCTGAGGTTTGGGGGTGGGCAGACACCTGCAGTGAGACCTCCCTGGGAGGGTTGCAGCCTGCCTGCTGCCTGCACCGTGAACCTTTGGGCTGGGCTGGGCCCTGGGTGGAAGGGCTGCGGGCTGGGAGGGGCGGCGGGCAGGCAGGCAGGCAGGCAGGCAAGGCACGACTTGCTGTCAGGCATGCAAAGCAATTGGCGGGGGAAACGCAGGGCTTTCCTGCTGGCACGGCTTGTTTGCTGCTTGCTGTGCCGGCACCCAGAGCTGGGAGGGGGCAGTGGGGTGTGAGCCCTGCTGCAGGAACGGAGGCTCTGGGAACCCCACTGCTTTGCTGTGCTCCTGCAGCCCTGTTGCACTGGGGATGTGCAGGGTAGGCGTGCGGCAAGCAGTGGGGAGGGTTGTGAGAGCTGGGACCAGATCCATCCCTGCTGCTGGGAGCACGGGAGGACTCTGGGGGTCCTTCTGCTTCGGGTGCAGCTGTGCAGGGAGCAGCAGTGGCAGCAGGGCTGTGGTTGCAGTGGGATGAGTTTTTGGCAGCTTCAGTCTTTTTCTCTGGGACCACAACGATGGGGGGCTGTGGTGATGGGAAGGACTTCCAACTGCTCTCCGTCATCCCAGCCTGAATTACCCACACTTGTTTGTCAGCATCCTCTGGCTGCCTTCCTCCTCCTCTTCCTCCACTCTCTGGCTGGGGACATGCACCCACCCTGCTCACGGGCTGCAGCAGGCGTCAATCCACTCTTTTTGTTCCAGTGTGCCCAGCACAGGCACTGTGGCACTGGGGACACGAGGGTGAAGGGAGCAGCATGCCAACAGGAAGGGATGTCACAGGGTCTCCTGCGTGATCTGATGGGCTGCAAGAGGACCTTGATGCCTCGGCAGCTCTGAGGGCTGGCAGGGAGCAGCTGGGTTCCCCAGCGTTGGGTTGCTTGAGCACCACCCTTGGTCCTTTCCAATGGCTAAGGAACATCTCCAGCCAGCACTATGCCAGGGTGCTGGGGCTGAGCAGCCAGCAGCAATCACAGCTCCAGGATGCGTCAGCTCTGCAGGTTGGGTGCTGAGCTCCCCATAGATCCAGGGAGGTCGGGAGGTTTCTCATCCCAAAATGTGTGTCTCCTTTCATCACTCAATAAATAACTCCCTTGCATGCCAGGGCTGTGCACCAGTGGGGATCGGCTGGTTCTGGCACGCTGGGGCTTACCTGCAGCCATCGTGTTGGAGCATGGGATGTGCTTGGAGCCAACGTGTCAGAGCACAGGGGAGCCCAGTGGGTCCCCTCCCATGCAGGCCGGTGCTGGGAGCCCTGTTGCCCCGAAACAGGGGGAGCTGAGCCCAGATCACAGCTCAGAGCTCCCCTTGGGTGTTCAGATCAGCCTCTGAGCACTGCAATCAGCCACCCCTGGTTCCTATTGCATTGCCCAGGCAAGCGAAGCACTTTCCAAGCCTCTGCCTTCCTCCTGTCCCCATATGGCTGCAGAGGTCCCAGCCATGGCTCTGCAAAAGGATCCCCTCCCAGTCCCATTCCCTATAGCATCCCAGGACCTGGCCGGTCCCCAGCTGTAGGATCCCGGTGTGGGGGGAACCTCACTGCCCAGCTCACCCCGCACCTGGATGTCCTTGTGCTGCCCCATGGGAAAAGCCAACGGGAGGAAAAGCCAGAGTGTATTTCCTGCAGAGCTCCTCAAGGACGGAGCAGGAGGAAGGAGCAAAGCTCCACCTTTTCCCCCTTTGTAAAGGGAGAGGGCGGCAGCACTCAGTGCACGGTGGCAGAGTGTGGTGCCCATCCCTGTGCCCCGTAGCTGGGATCTCCCATGGGTGCTCAGCTATGTGGGTGCTCCAGCCCCAGCGTGGGGTGTCCCCATCAGGGAACAGGAAACCCTCCAGCAGCAGGGGCAGAGCCAAGAACAAGCTCAGGGCTGTTTTGTTCAAATACCTCTTTTTTTTTTCCCTTTTCCTTTGACGTACATAAAAGTCTTTGTTTGGTCTCCTCCCCCGGTGCTGGATTGGGTTTCCCGCTGGCACTGGGAGTGTGCCAGCTCTAGCTCTTCTCCTTGGGGCTGGGAGGGAGGGAGGGTGGGCAAGAGGGGCCACCTGCATGTGTAACCCCTGGAACCATCCTCTTCCTGCTGTCTGTACAAGAGGCACAGGAGCCCTGCAGACCCCAGGACCCACTCGGCCCCACGGAGCTGACACACGGCTCCCAAGTGCCACCAGACACCGCGTGGGTGACCGCAGGGTGGCACAGCTGTGACTCAGCCGAGGGCAGTGGGCGCAGACTGGAGCTGCTGGAGCTCAGGGAGCAATGGGACAATCGCTCTCAGCTGTAGGGTTGGGGTTTGGCTGTGCTGTGCAGAGCTGGGGTTGGATTCAGTGATGCTTCCCCAGCCCTGCAGAGGCCCTGAATGCTGTTTGATATTCAGATGCACATTCCTTCCATGCGGCTCCAGCGCACGCAGTCCCTGGTGCAGCAGCAGGAGGCAGGCAGCCACCCACCCCGGCAGTTCCCAGGCCACAGGGCCGTGCTTTGCTTGCTGTTTTGCTTTCTCCCCCGTGGATTTCGTGAGCTCCTCCCTCTCTGCAGTGCACAGGTTTATTTGCTTTGGGCTGAGAGCGCTGCTGGGAAACCACCCGCTGGGAGCAGCTCTGGGAGGGGGCACCTCCCCATGGGGACACCGTGGGGACAGAGGGCTGAAGAGATGCCATCCAGTGTCCCCATGCACTGTAACCCGTCGGGGTGGCTGTTGGGTGACCTCTGACTCTCATCTGTTGGCAGAGCCCAAACCAGCTCCCTGCTGAGCCCTGCTGGTTTCTGCTTGGTTTCCCTGCGCCGTCCCTCTCAGTCTTCAGAGCAGTGAGTCCAGGCTGAGGTCATAGGGCTGAGGTCACTCCTGGGGACACAATAGCACTTCTGTCCCACTTCCACCACCTGGGTTGATTGGTCTCTCTTTCATTTTTGTCCTCTCTTTCTTCTTTTTCTTTCTTTCTTTCTTTTTTTTTTTTTTCCTTCCTTGAAGGTATGATTTAACCCCAAACTCCCTGGACGGTTTGAGGGCTGATGATGCCATCTTCCCAGGGTTATCAGACTAGTGCTGCCGGGTGCAGCCCATTGATAGAAGGAACAAAGAGCTGGGGCAGGCCCTGCCAGCTGCCTCCGCCCTCTGTTTGTTCCCCTGCAGCTCCGGATAAACTTAATCTAAATCCTGATAATGCTGTGGGGCAGAGTGGGGCGACCGGGGTGGGGGGGGGGGGGGAGCGGTGGTTCAGGCTGGCTGGGTGCCCCAGGGATGTGGGCACAGGCATGGAGCTGAGCAGGGGGTGCTGGGCTGGGGCTGTGTCAGGTGTATGAGCACTAGTTTGTGTTTTCTGGATGGAGATTGAGATTGGAATTCCCAAAGCTCTGACTTGCAGGTTGAGGATTAGCCTGAATCCCAGTGCTGGATTATTGCAGCAGGGCAGCGAGGTGCCCTTGTGCTGCTGCTGGCACACCTGGCCCATCTCTTCAGAGCTCATTTTAGCCACCAGCCCATGCTGCCCCATGCCCAGCTCCATCAGAGCAGTGCAGTGCCCCATGGCAGTGGGACTCAATGTCCACAGGCTGTCCTCAGCCCACCGCCAAGCTCAGCAGCAGCAGCAGTTGTTCAGGGCTCACAGGGTGCTGCTGGGTTAAGATCCAACACACCGTGCACCCCATCTGTGCTGTGCTGGGCACCCCATCTCTGTTTATGCCCCCCATCCCTATCATGCCGTGCATGAGGATGCCCACACAGCACTGGGATTTGGGGCATGCAAGCATGTCAGGTGGGCTTGGACCAGGCAGTGATGGAGGACTGGTGGCACAGGGCTAGGGGACCTGAGCAGGAATGCCTGCTGTCCCTTGGAGGCCTCAGAGCAGTGACATGCAGGCAGGGAAGCGTGAGGGTGCAATGGGGACAGAGTGGGGGCTGCCAGGGAACAGATGCCCAGCAAGGGAGCCCAGGAGGAAAGCAGCTTCCACCCATTCTTCTCCTCCCAGAGGAGCACACTGGATGGGTGGGGATGCATCCCTCTCCCCACTTACTGGTCATTGACCACCATGGGGACAGTGCAGGGACACACAGGCGGTGGCACAGTGCTGGGGCTTTCCTCAGCCTGCTGCTGACTCAGACACTGCGGGCTCCGCCAGCTCGGGGCTGACTCAATGAGCCTTTTTATCCTTTATTTTTTAATTATTATTTCTTTTTTTACCCTGCGCCGGGAGGAAAATTCCTGCCCTTCAATGAGGCTTTGCTTGGGTGCCCCCTGCTCCGCTTTCTTCCTTGTGCAAAGCAAAGCCGGGGGGAAGGGGAGGGTGGAAGGGGAGGGGTTGGGATTTCCAGGGCAACCCCCGATGTGGTTCAGTAGTGGGACTGGGAGGGGGGCAGGACGTGATCCTTGGAGGATGCATCTGGCACGGGGTGCAGGGCTACGGGCTTACGAAACGGGATGTGGGCTGAGGGAGAGGTTGGGGCAGCGTTCCTGCTCGGATGTGTCAGCCCATATGTGTGGGGGGAATGGCTGCGTGCATTTGGGACTGCTGGGGGACCCTACAGATCTCTGGGGCTCAGGCACAGCACACTGCTCCCTCCCCATTGCTCCCAGGAATGGGAGCTGAGTAAACCTGGAGCAACCCCACTGCATGCCCCACACCTGGCAGAGGGAAGCTGTGCTCAGCTGGCTGTGGGGCAAGGACCAGCCTGGTGGCCCTGTCCTCACCCTGTCCCTGCTGCCATCCTGCTGTTGCTGCAGTCAGATCTGACCTCCCCACTGCTGGCCCCGCTGACTCTGCAGCCACGGCTATTTATGGTGTCACTCTCATTTTCACATGATTTCCAAGGGAATGAGGCACACGGGCTCTGGCCACGCACTGGTGCTTCGAGCACGGGGCTGGCACAGCACTCAGCCCTTCCCCTTCCATCCCTTTTGCTTGGGGTGAGGAGGGAGAGTGCCTACAGTGCTGCACAGGGTGCTGCGTGCTGCAGGTGTTGCTGCACGGAAAGAAACAAAACTCAGAGGGCAAATGTGAAGCTCTGGAAGGGAGGGTATGGTGGAGTTGTGCTGGTGATGGTAGCAGGCAGCTCTCTTGGGGTCGGTCCATGCGTTGAGCTCTGGGATGCAGTGCACACTGCACTGTGGCCGAACTGTGAACCCCATGTGAACGAGGCAGGAGCTGCACACACTCCTAGGAGTGCCAGCATTGTGGGGCTGCCCCAAACATTGTGCCCCTGCCCCAGGCTGGCAGCAGTCCCATCATGACCAGTCTAAGTGTTTGGCAGGGCTGGTTTCACCGAAACGAGCCCTGGCAGAAAGCAGAAAGGGCAGAGCTGAGCTCCATGCATGCGCTGCCATGGGGCACCCAGCATCGTGCCTGGCCTCATGGCACCTTCTGTCTCACAGCTGTGCATCACTGAGTGCTTTCACGCCTACCAACACATCCCCTTGAGCTCAGCCCTTAGGAGGAGACCCAGGGGCAAAGCAGTGCTGGACCCTCTGCTGAAGGCCTAGAGGATCCCCGTTGGGGCAGGGGCTGTGTGCCATAGACTCCAGCACCCTCTGGGCCCCCCAGTGCACCCCATCTGGGGATGATGCAGCGCTGTTGGCGGCTTCACTGAGAGCCTTTTGTTTCACTATCTGCAAGTAATTGACTTTTGCTTTCCCATTTGCTTAAGACCTCTTAATTGGCCCCGCTGTTAATCGGAGAAGAATGAGTGACTAAGCCGTCTGGACAGCCGGGGGAGCAGGGACGCTTTTTTTCCCATGAACTGAAAGGAAATGAAACCTCAAAACGTCCCTCTAAATCTCAGCTGTCAACGTCGCCGCCCGGAGCTGCAGCCAAAATAATGCCGTTCTGCAGCCATGCACTGCAGAACTGCCTCATGAACATGGGCACAGTATGGCTGCACACCGGGCTGGTGCCAGGAGGAAAGGCCAAAAGTTGGGTGAGGATTTTCTCTCCTTGCCCAAGCCGGCTCCTTGCTGTCGGAGGTGGTGCACGGTGCATCCTTGGTGCATCCTTCCGTAGCGCCGGGGAGACAGAGCAGCTCGTTGCTGGCAGCCTCAGCTCTTCCCCCGTGACACATCCAGGGCAAAGTTGAGCAGAATTCAATCTGGAGGCCCTGTGCGTTCAGGGGAACTCTGGGAAAGCCATCCTTATGCTGGCAATAATCCCTCCCCAAAATGTTTGATGCTTTGCAACGGGCTTTGTTGCGGAGGAGGCTCAGATGGGCTCTGGCAGGGTGCACGTAGGGCAGGGTGCTGCATGGGGCCGGGCACCCATGGGGTGCTCATGGTGCAGGGTGCTCGTGCAGCACCGTGCCACGCTGGTGCCAAGCGGTGCGGGTGGCGCAGGGCTGGCTTTTGGGTGCTGTGCCAGCGCCTGGTGACTCAGGCCGTGGGAGTCCCTCTGGCACCTCCAGATTCCATTGTGCTGAAGTCAGGCAGACTGGGGGAGTGTGGTGGCAGGCAGGCTTTAGGGGGTGCAGGAGCTTTCTAAGCATCACGGTGGGTGTCTACACTTTGTGGGGTGGGGGGCGCCGTTCGGGTTGTCTTTCCTCTTGCTGCACGCTTGGCCCTGAGCGTCTCCAGCCCTTCCACGTGACATTCCTTATTGGGTTTTGCAGGTCCTGAGCATGGGGCTGGGGGGGCTGCCCCCATCTGCAGCCTCTTGGAGAGGCAGTGAAGGCGCAGCCCTTCCTGTGGGTCTGCAGTGGGGACGGGTGCAGGGCTGCACAATGCACAGGAAGTGCCGTGGTGCCGGAATGGCCTTAATGTCAGGAATTTCCTGCCTGGGAGAGGAATCCACAGCACTAACGTGAAAGGCCAAAAAATAATAATAATAATAGTAGTAAGACTTTGCTAAGCCTGGGCTAGATGGGGAGGGCAGAGGGCAGCGGGCTCGGAGACGGTCCCATGCTGAACCCTGCTCCTCTGGGCATGAGGAAGTGTTGGCCGGGTGTGAAAATGCAAATGTGGCCAAATCTGTGCTGTGGGATGCCAGAGCTCAGCCTGTGGGGCTGCTCCCCACTGGGGACAGAGGTACTGGAGGCCCCACAGCGATATGGAACTGGGGACACGTCTCCAGAATGCACCCAGTGCTGTAGGTTGGGACTGCAGGGAGCGTGGGGTGCATCCTAACTCTGCTCTCCCTTTGCAGAGAAGACTGGGAAGGTGCTGGGGGAGTTCTCCCGCTGCTACAGGGAACAGTATGGGGTAGCACTCTTCAACAGCGTCCGCTATGAGATTGAAGGCAATGGGGGGCCGCAGGCACAGCTGCTGCACCGCAAGGTAAGAGCTCAGATTCATTTTCCTCCCTCTGCACTGGGCTGCCCCGTAGGAATGGAGGCACCATGGGGCTGGGAGAGGAGTCCCAAGGAGAAGGTGATGGAGGGGGTCTGCAGCCCATGGGGGTCCCCTGAAGGCTTTCTGCTCTGCTCAGTGCAGTGAGCACACCCAGCAGCATGGCGTGGATGTGGGTCTGGCTGCAGGCACTACTTCCTGATATGGAGCTCTTGGGAACTGCTCATGCCCTATAAATCTGTGGGTGAGGCTGCAGCTGTAGGCCATGGCTGGGTTGTTCTGGAGTGCCTTTGCTGTGCTGCTGGGTACAAGCCATGCGCTAGCGCTAGAAAGGGGATGAAATCGTTCCTGAGCAGCTCTCAGCCTGAAATGCTTCCATCACCCTACTTTAAGTGACATAAAGTAGCCAGAAAACATTCCCAAAGCCCCTGTTAGGAAGCTGGGCATCATTGCAGCCTTGGGACGGAGCACTGGGCGCAGGAGGGCAGGGTGTGCAGGATGGGCACACAGCCATGGGCGTTTGCAAAGTCACAGAACCGCAGAATACCTCGAGCAGGAGGAAGGGACTCACAGGGATCACTGGGTCCAGTTCAGTGGCAGAGGGGCAGCTCACATGAGGACTGGAGCAGTGACTCTCCCGGTGTGTCCTGTGTTGCAATGTCCCTGCCTGCCCGGGTGTGTCAAACAAAATAAAGGTGTGGAGGGACGAGTTCCTGAGCAGGAACAGGGAGCCCGGTGTCCGCAGGGAGGAAATAATCAGGTCATCGTTGCTTGGCTGATGCCTTCAGCGGGTGGTGCCTCCTGAAGCAAGCCCAGAAATGTCTGAGAAGTGGCAGCAGTATGAGGTCAGGGGCACGGTGCAGCACTGGGCCACAAAGTAGGACCAAATAGGACCAAACAGGACCAAATAGGACTAAACAGGACCAAGTCTGACCAAGTAGGACCGAACAGGACCAAGTAGGACCAAGAAGGACCTAATAGGACCAAACAGGACCAAAGTACAACTAAACAGAACCAAATAGGACCAAGCAGGACCAGGTAGGATGTTCTTCCTGCAAGAAGTCCCCTCTGCCTCTGCAGAGAGGCGTGCATGTTGGCATCTGGTTTGGTGACAAGCTATGGGAACAGCACCTGGTGCAGGCACACCTGCACGTGGGAGCAATGCAGGGACAGCCCCTGGGGCAGAGCAGGACTGCTGCAAAGCTCTCATCCACCCCAGGAGTCCATCCCTGAGCATCCTCCTCCACGCTTGCCAGCCGCCTCCCTGCCCCTCCTTGCAATTTGCCACATTCCTGCATGTCCCAGATGTTTGCTGGGTGAGGCAGGCTCGGGGCTCTGGAGTGCAAGTCAAGTCCTTGCAATGGGCTGAGCCCTGTTGTTTGGGCTGCCCCTGAGCGATGCTGATGGGAAGTGGTCTCACCTTGGCTCTGCTGGACTTTTGCTGTCCCCATCGCTCTCTCTTAGGGCTGTCACCCCCAGCTCAATACCCCCCTGCTTCTCCCCATCTAGGTGTCCCTTTATTCCTTTGGGAAATGCTTTGGATGGATGGTGGGGCTGTGCTGCACGGCTGTCAATCTGCTTGCTGAGCCAGCATGCTCCCAGTCCTCCTCAAAACCAAAGTGGGTGCTGCTTGGTGAAGGAGTTCAGTGTTTGGGGAAGGCAACGAGGGGAGAAATGTCCATCATCAGGGTCGTGCTGGGTGCACAGTGCGGTGCCTGCAGTGGCCGCCACGGTGGGCGGAGGATGGAGAGCCAGTCGCCGGCTGCTCACACTGTCAGGAGTGCTCTCAGCTCTTGTTTATATTCCTGGGGTCATAAAAATTCCTGGGTTGCATTCTTGGCTGGTGTCAGCACAGCATGTGGGGGCTGCAGAGGCTGCTCGGCCCCGAGACGTGGGATGGCCTCATCCTACTCCATCCAGGCAGCCTGGGGCATTCCAGCACCATCCGGAGTTGGGCTACAGAGGATGGCCACCTCTATGGTGACTGCTGAGTGAGCATCCCCTGGAGCTCTGTTAGGGCTGTGCAGGTGGGACCCCCGCAGAACATCACCCAGAGGCACTATTTAGGCACCTGCATTTGAGGGACAGTGGGTGGGTGCTCCCCGTTGCCCCTTCCCATGTCACAGCACACCTCCTCCCTGCAGGTCCCGCTGGAGGACCACGTCATCTACTCGGGCAACCTCTTCCAGTACATCGAAGAGAACAAGAAGTGGAGGAACCGCTTCTGCGTGGTCCCACACAACTATGGGCTGGTGCTGTATGAGAACAAACTGGTGAGGATGGCTCCTTGCATGGGGCTGTCACCTGTGGATGATCCTGCCCATGTCCTCCCTCTGCCCCCCATCCTCCTTGGGGCTGACTTCCCTGCGAGGATGGACGCCCTGTGACCATGTAATGTTTCCTGGTGGCCCTTGGTATTTCCAGGCTGCCCTATGAGCTTCCTTTTCCCATCCATCCTGTTAGAGGAGGAAAAGACCCTTTCACCCACCTGCCGTGTACTCTTCCCATGCCATACCTATGTCCCACATCACCACCCTGCCCTGACCAGCTCTTTCTGCTCAGGCTTATGAGAGAGAGCTGCCGCCCCGTGTGCTGATCAACAGTGCTGGTTACAAGGTGCTCACCTCAGTGGAGCAGTACCTGGAGCTGGTGAACACCAGCCTGCCTGGTGAGTGGGGGGGGGGTGGGATTCTGGGGGTCCCCCCTCATCCCCATGCTGCCCAGCATCCCAAGCCGCTGGGAAGGGGTGGTTTTGTGGTGTGGGGTTACAACCCCATATTCCCCCAGGTGGAGCCTCCATTGGGATGCTCTGCTCCTTGTAAGCCCTGGGATGCAGATGGGGACCAGCAGACGGACATCCCCGCCCCTGCATCCCTTGTCCCTGTTCCTCTGCCCTTCAGCACGTCCTTCCTCCCGCAGGCATCACCCCCAAATCGGGGAACACCCCCATCCTGAAGTGCCCCACGGATTTCCCCCTCATCCTCTGGCACCCCTACGCCCGGCACTATTACTTCTGCCTGATGACTGGCAAAGAGCAGGAGAAGTGGGGAGCAGTGTTCCAGGACTGCGTGCGGCACTGCAACAGCGGTGAGCGCGGGGGCACCTCGGTGGGGAGAGCATTGTGGAGTTCTGGGAGCCCCACAGAGCTCTCTGTTGACCTACAGGGGAAGATATGGGGACGAAGAGGTGGGAATAGGCCAGCAGTGAGGGTGGGCACGGGGGTCTCCATCCCGTGCCCCTGAGCAGCGTGATGGCAGTGCCTGCCTGCAGCCAGCTGGACGCCAGCATGGGGAGCCCTAATGACTATTTACCACCCCAAGGCAGAAAATATTCAGTAATTAAAGTCATCCAAACTGCAGGCAGCCGCCATCCTGCTCTCTCTCCCTCCTCCTCCCACCCTCTTTGGGGCTTGGGCTGTGTGCGGACAGGACCAGCCTCCCACAGCCCCGATACCGTGTCAGGAGAACATGATTTTCCTGCTAAGCATACCCAGGCACTCCTGGGGTGAGACAGCATCCCAGGGAGGAGGTGCTGGCCCTGCAGCCTGCTGCAATGCAAAGAGCAGTGCTGCTTGCTCTGCTGTGTGCCTTTCCCTCCTGGGTGCTGCCCGCAGCCCCATTTTTAGGGGGCAGAGCAATGGAGTTGGGCAATAATCTGTGCTGTGCGCTGGGTCCTCTCCTCCTCTGCAGTGGCGCAGAGATGGGCACAGCCCCAGGAACAGATCTGCTCGGGTGGATTTCTCCATTTGTGCAGGCTGTTTTTCTTTATGAGACGTTCCTTCCCTTCCCAGCTCCAGATTTCTGCCCGCTGCTGTTCTTGCTGTGTTTCAGATACTGTTTCAAATCCAATGAAAGATCTTTTGTTGCTGTTGAGCAACTTTTTTTTTTTTCTTTCCAAATTGGAGGCCCCTTGTCTGCCTCCAGCTGTAAATAGTGTGGGAATTTTCACCTCCTTTTACAAGTCCCTGGTTTTGAAACACCAGCTGTTCCCTAAGGACTGGGGATGAGCTGTGGGACCCTTCACACAGCATGTCCAGCTGGGTCACCCCCTGCCCTCTGCACCTGTGGGACCTCTGCCCATGCTGCATTGGGGACATCATCATTCCCTGGTGCCTGACACCTCACTATATGGCACCATCACCAGGGGAACATTGCCAAGAGAGCTGTGCAGCAGCAGCCAGACCCTTGGGGAGGGGCTGAGGGTGACATCCATGCCCCCCTTGTGTCGTGGTCCCGTGCTGTGGTGAATCACAGTGCTGACATCCCAGGGGTAGCAGAACCGGCTGGAGCACGCTGTGCCTCCTCGTGACTCATCCCCACTTTCCTCTTCCTCCCAGGCTGTGCTGTGTCCTCAGGGCCCCTCTTCCTCCAGCCCCTCCCAGGCAGCCCAGAGCCCCCTGCACCTTGGGGGCTTGCAGAGTCCTTAGGACTCACTCCATGCACCAGTGGGGCTTGCAGAGTTTGCCCAGTCCTGCTCAGCCCCTGCTCCAGCTGTGCCACTGGGGCTGTGCAGGGCCATTGTGCCCCACTGGGACTTGCTGAGCCCTCAAAGACTATTGGGGCACACCAATGACTCCTCTGACTGTGGCACCTGGGATTGCTGAGTCAGCAGTTCCCCATCTATCACTGGTACATACTGGGCCCCCGTCTTGCTGTGCCCTGCTCCTGCTATGCTTCAGGGCTTGCTGAACACACACAGGTTGCCATGCAGCACTGGGGCACACTGAGCCCCCAGTCCTCTTGTGCCACCGAGGCTCACCAAACTGCTGGGCTCACCATTTAGTGCTCAGTGAGGCCCTGGGTTCTGCCGGGCTGTTTTCTCTTGACTGCTCTTCCGCCCTCCCCTTTTCCTCCTGGACGCTCTCCTGCCCTGTGTCCCATTTAGGGGGGTCTGCCTATGGGAGCTCCCCAACCCTTCCTGTGTATGGGACAGCATCAGGGACAGGGTCCCCCCTACCCCCAGGCACTGTGCAGTGGCCCTGCAGACACGGGGAGCCCCTGTGACATGCAGCCTGGGGTTGTACCGCTACCCACCCTCCCATCCTAATGCTCACTCATCCATTCCCCATCAGGGATCTCGGAGGACTCCAAAGTTGAAGCCCCAGCCTTCACTGATGCCGTCCGCATGTACCGCCAGTCCAAGGAGCAGTACGGCACCTGGGACATGCTGTGCGGCAACCAGACCCAGGTGAGGGCTGGCCCAGGGGCTGTGTGGGGCCGGGGTGGGGTCGGGCACGGCCCCCCATCGCCTCCTCCTTTTGTAGATCCTGAGCAACCTGGTGATGGAGGAGCTGCTGCCGGAGCTGCGGAACGCCATCGGCCCGCGGCTGAAGGGCAAAACCCAGGAGCGCCAGCGGACCTGGATCCAGGTGAGGGTGGTGGAAGTGGGGACATCAGTGCTGACCCCCCTGCTTGGGCTGCTCCCATTTTGGGGCATGTCCCATCTCATAGGCTGTGTTGCCCCGTGGCTTCACTCTGCCCAGGATTTTGTTGTCCCCGCTGCAGCCCAGCCCTGCCCAGCGCTCTGCTTCTGAGAATGGGGGAAGCCAAGTGGAGGAAGCCCGGCCCACGAGCACAGCCCATCCAGCTATATTTAGTGAGCCATTTTTAGGGTAGCGCAGGCTAAATCCAGCCCCAGCCCTTGCCAGAAAGACAGAGCACTCTTCAGAACCGCCTGTTGCAGCCTTCATAGTTGCCACCAAGCTCATAATGTGCAGCCTAAAAATGCTCAAATCTTGCTTTTTTTTTCCTTTTTTTTTTTTTTTTTTTTTTCCAGTGGCTGCGGTCTCCACAGCACAGCCCAGAGTTATACTGCAATACTGGGAGGAGGGAGGGAGGGGAGAGACTGCTCTGCCTCCTGCTGGTCCCAAAGTCACAGCATCAGGCTGCAGTGTGGGCTCCAGCAGTCTAATGGAGCTCATGGGTCCTGCCCATTTCCTAAGTTTGTGGACATCCTACAGGCTTGTGACCATCAGGGACCTCCTGTCACCCTCTTCTCCCTCCCCAGATCTCAGATGCTGTCTATAGGATGGTCTACGAGCAGACTAAGGCACAATATGATGCCATGGTGGCCAAGTGTGAGCTGGAGCGGCCCCAGATGGAGAGCAGCATCCGGACTGACATGGACCAAATCATCACCTCCAAGGAGCACCTGGCCAGCAAGATCCGAGGTAGAGCCCCGTGGGGAGAGGGCACAGATGGGGGACAGGTTGGGCAGTGAGCCCAAAGCAAGGCAATGGGACAGGAATGGGTTCAATGCAGGCTGAGGGCCACCTTCGAGAACCCCTTCTGTTGCCCCATGGGTCTGAGAGACTTCTGGAGGGATTTGAGGAATAGAGCATCCTCTCTCCCAGGCTGGGGTTAGGTGGAGCTGGAAGGGCAGAGCAGCCTTGCCATGCTCCCCGCTGCTCTCCGCCCAGCCTTCGTCCTCCCCAAAGCGGAGATCTGTGTCCGTAACCACGTCCAGCCCTACATCTCCTCCATCCTGGAGGCCCTGATGACCCCGACGAGCCAGGGCTTCGCCGAGGTGCGGGAGGTCTTCTTCAAGGAGGTGACGGACATGAACATGAACATCGTCAATGAGGGCGGCCTGGAGAAGCTGGTGGAGGTGAGCTCTGAGCCGGGCAGGGTGGAGGCTGGAGGTGATGTGGCCAATCCCATTGCCTTACCTGGTAGGGACAGAACTGGGGAACCATAAGCTGGGAAGACACCTGAGGACGGAGCCCTTGTAGAGGTGTGGGATGGCCCGTCCCAGCCCTGCTGAGCTCAGCTCTGTCCCCAGTACATGGAGAAGCTGTCCCACCTGGCCTTCCACCCAGTGAAGATGCAGTCGTGCTACGAGAAGATGGAGCAGCTGAAGCTGGAGGGCCTCCAGCAGCGCTTCGATGTCTCCAGCACATCTGTCTTCAAGCAGAGGGCCCAGATCCACATGCGACAGGTAGGATAGGCATTCCCTACCTTCATCCCCCTATCTCTCCAAGGCAGAGTTGCTGGAGTGTGGGGACAGGTCCAGCCCAGCCCCTTTGGTCCCCCACTGCCACTGACCTCTTGGCTTTTGTCAAAGCAAATGGATGATGCCTTGTACACCTTTGAGACGCTGCTCCACCAGGAGCTGGGGAAGCTTCAGGGCAAGGATGAGCTCTGCAAGTCCATCCAGCGCATCCTCGAGAGGGTGCTTAAGGTAAGGGCTGGGGCTGTTCCTATGCCATGGGGCTTCTGGGATGAGGAGGACAGCAGGGACCCTCATAGTGTATGCCAAAAGTTTTTTGGCAAGTGCTTCTTGCTATTGAGACTTTCATGCCTTTTGCTGAGATCTGGGGCAAGTGAGTGGTGGAGGAGGTGGAGGACCCAGCCCCATGTGAAGGCATGCGTGGGTCCACGGGAAAGCCACTCAGGGTTTGGAATGACCCAAACCCTTCTGCAGAAAGTGGTTACTGAGGATGCGAGGGACAAGGGAACCCATTCAGCCCCATGCAAATGGATTGGGAACCCAAATGTACGGTCTGTGCCTGTGCCACCATGCAGCCCTCATGGGCGCCAACCCATGGCCACTCTCACCTGCCCCACAGAAATATGATTACGACAGCAGCACGGTGCGGAAGAAGTTCTTCAGGGAGGCCCTGCTGCAGATCACCATCCCCTTCCTGCTGAAGAAGCTGGCACCCACCTGCAAGGGGGTAAGCTCATGGGAGGGTCTCTCTGTGGAGGTTCAGCATCCCTGGGGATGGGGAGCTCCTGCATCCCACTCTGAATCCCTCCCCTCTGGCAGGAGCTAGCCAAGTTCCAGGAGCTCATCTTCGAGGACTTTGCCAGCTTCATCCTGGTGGAGAACACATATGAAGAGGTCGTGCTGCAGTCTGTGATGAAGGACATCATGCAAGGTAAGGGGCTCTGGGATTTCCAGCTGGGTGGGGAGGCCCCTCATGTATGCAAGGGCTTAGCAGCATAGGAAGCATTTAGGGGGTCCAACTGGGTGCTGGAATCCACAGTAGGAAGATCCACAGAATGCTGGGGCTTGTAGAAGGAAGGAGTGACCCCACGCAAGGAGCTGAGGTCCATGGATGACCCCGTGCAGGGTGCTATATGAGGAAGGGTGACCCCACGTCAGGCGCAGGGTGCCGGTGCCACCCTATGTGATATCTCCCTCTGTGCCACCAGCCGTGAAGGAGGCAGCCGTGCAGCGGAAGCACAACCTGTACCGTGACAGCATGGTGATGCACAACAGCGATCCCAACCTGCACCTGCTGGGCGAGGGCACCCCCATCGACTGGGGCGAGGAGCACGGCGGGCAGCCTGAGGCTGAGCCGGCTGCTGACAAGCGCCGCAGGGCCAAGCAGGTGGTGTCGGTGATCCAGGACGACGAGGGGGCCCTGCCCTATGAGATGGGTGCCGAGATGCTGATGTCTCCCAGCTCGCCGGAGCCGCCAGAGCCCAGGGTGCCACCGGGGTCCCCAGATGGGGTGGCGGAGATCCGGGAGGCGCTGGCCAAGGAAAGCACCGAGGTGCTCACAGAGGAGCGGCTGACGAACGGTACCCACAGCATGCGGGACAGCGGTGCCACCAAGGAGGTGGTGGTGGCAGAGGGGGCTGCACCAGGTGATGTCCCCACGAAGGGTCCGGCCGGTGATGGGGATGGAGTGCGGCGTGCCGCACCGGCAGCACCCACATCTGGAGCCAAGGTTTCATCAGAGGATGGGGTGCCCCATGCTCCACCAGCACCACCTGCACCTGAAGCTGAGAGCACGGCAAGGGATGAGGTGCAGCATGCCATGCCTGCTTCACCCACAACTGGAGCTGAGGTCCTGTCACAGGATGGGCTGCACCATGATGCGCCTGCATCACCTGTATCTGGAGCTGAGGTCACATCTGGAGCTGAGATCCCATCTGGAGATAAGGTGCCTCATGCCACATCTGCATCGCCTGCACCCGGAGCTGATGTCCCACCCAGCGATAAGGTGCACCATGGTGTGCCAGCATCACCTGCACCCAGAGCTGAAACCCCACCAGGAGATGAGGTGCATCATGCCACACCAGCATCCCCTGCACCCAGAGCCGAGGTCCCACTGCCGCCTGCTGGGACCGCCTGCCAGCGCAGTGACAAGGAGACGGGTGAGGAGGTGGCCCTCCCGGTGGCATGCAGCCCCCCAGAGCCTGCGGGCACGACGGAGAACATTGAGGGGATGCAGACTGAGTTCTAGCCCCATTCCTGCTGCAGACTGGCCCTGGTAACACCAGAGATGGGGACTGGGACCAGGGAGGGGATGGGGAACACCTGACTGGGAGGAGCCCCGTGTGGTCCTGCTAGGTGAGGCTGGGGGTGCCCTGGCTCGGCACAGGGTACCCACTGCACTCTGCTCTGTCCTTCTTCTGCCTTATTTCCTTCTTTTCTACTGGAGAGATGCTTTACCCACCTGGGGCTGCAGAATGCTCCCATTGCCATCCCCATACCCACAGCCCTGGGCATCCTCTGCTACCGTTGAGAGGAGGTGGAAAACATGTCTGTGATGAGGGTTGGGGGTGCGCAGCACTGCGTGGCGTTTGGTCCTGGGAGGTGCACCCCACCTTGCTGGCAGCACCCCCTGCCATCACACCAGCAGTGATGGGGCACAGCCCTGGGGCTTCAGCATAGGTCTGAGGGTCTGACACAGGCTCTGGGTAGGGATGCACTAAAAGCACTGGAGAGATGGTTGGGGCTGGGGTGTCTGCATGTACGTATGTGTGCACACCTGCAGCCCCTCCACAGCTCACCTCGACCCCGCTGTAGGTTTGGTGCCGCTGTTTCTGCTGCTGCAGGGGGTGCCCAGCCCAAACCACTGGGGGAGGCCCCCCCCGAAGTGCCTTGCTTTGGGAACTTCAGACCTGTCTCTTCCAAGATATTTTATTAAGAATGTTATACAAATGTTTTAAAATATATATATGCTTATAATAATTAATAAAAGAGAAAAAAAGCTTTATTTAAAACCAGAGGAGAGCATCCTTACTCCTAAACCCTGCTGCGAGCCAGGGCTCCTGTTGCTCTGCAGCACGCAGCAGCCAAGAGCTGAGCGATGCGGTGGTTTCATTGCCATGGGCATCCCAGCAGCAGCATGCCCTGACTCTAACCCTAAAGTGCTAAAATAGAGGTGCACAAGGCAGAGCCCTGCACCCACAAGGCACAGAGTGAGGGGGCATGAGCAGGGCTGAGTCCTGCCCAGCACACACCTGGGGCATCCCAGTGCCCCCCAGCAGCCATCACCCCCATCCCACAGCTATAAAGCTCCCTGAGAGCACAAGGATGGCCGCAGCAGTGGCAGAGCAGGGGACAGTCCCAGAGCCAGCCCCGTCCTGCCAGCACTGTGCATCCCAGCACTGGGATCCTTGGGGCTCTGTGTCCTGCATGGCACAGGGACAAGGATAGAGCCAGCAGAAGTGACAGTGCTACTGGATGGGATGAGAGGTGACAGCCCCGTTGCTCACCCAGAGCAGTGGGTACACCACAAAGTAGCCGATGGCAGAGCCTGCAACCACCCCAAGGAAGATCCATGCATTGTAGGACATGACAGCCAGCATCAGCGTGTAGCCCACCACCACCTGAACCACGTGGAGCAATGTCTGACCCACATGGTACTGGAACCACCTATGGGGAGAGAGAGAGGCCATCAGCATGGGAACAGCACAGGTGTCATTGCTGTGGGTGATCAGGATTTGGGCACTGCTTGGCAGCTGCAATAGCGGGGCAAACACAAACCTGGCCCTGAATGAATGGGGAAGGGATCACAGAGAGGGTGAAGGTGGTCCTTCTTTCCATTCCCATCTCCCCGCCCTCCCAGCACCCCCAGCCCCATACCTGCCCTGCACGGCCTCATGCTCCTGGACACAGCTGTCCTCACTGTCCCCACCACCACCATCCCCCTCGTTGGGGCCCAGCAGTGTGTCCTGGTTGAGGCTGGGGGGCACAGCCAGCAGTGCCCTCTGCAGCACTCTGGCTTTGCCCATCTTCACCACTTCATACAGCACGGAGAGCAGCAGGATCACCAGCACAGACAGCACCAGACCTGCACAAAGACAACCCCAAAACCGTCACCAGCAGCAGTGCTCTTTTCCCAAAAAAGAACAGCTTGCACTCAGCTGAGCAAATTGTTTTCAGCAGGGAGAATGGAAATGGTCTCCAACTATTTGCAGGGATGGAGGTGTTTGTTCATGTGGGGGCACAGCCTACCTGTGGGGCTGTGCACGCTCCAGAAGTCAAAGAGCAGCACCAGCCTATCTGAGAAGAAGAAGGTCATCTGCAAAGGAGACAAGAAAGCATTCAGGACCATCCCCTCCCATGCATTTGAAGGCAAAGCCGTGCTGGCAGAGCACCCAGGGAGCAGTGTGACAGCCGCCCCACGTGGCTGGGTGACACCAGTGGGAAATCCCACACTTGGGGTTTGGCCAAATGCTGCAAGTTCAGTTCAGTTCCAAAAACAGGAAGGGGAACTGCAGCTGCAAATCACAGGCATGCAATGCAGGCTTGGCATGCAGTGCTGCTAGGGGAAGCCCTGACCTATTCCTGTCGCAGACACCCAGCCATGTCCCACTGCCCTGCATGCACAGCCAGGACTCCAGAGATGGGAGTTGATGGCAGGCAGGCACCAGCTGCTGGGTGCTGTCTGGAGCCTGCAGCAAAAGTGGCGTGACAGCAACACCTGGGATCCCGCTGCGCTCTTCTACCTCCCACGGGCTTCTCTTGCCTTGCCTTGCCTTGCCTTGCCTTGCCTTGGCAGGCTGCTCCAGATGCACCCACAGATGCCAGATGTTCTCCGTCCAGATGGAAACCAGCTGCTCCTTTCTATGAACACTGCCCCAAATCTGCAGCCTCTGCACCCCGTGGTGGGGTCTGTGTTCTGGAGATGGGTGGAAGGGGGTAGCACAGCCACCCAATGTCAGCACCTCCAGCTCAGAACATCCCTGCAGGGTTTGCTTTCAACCTGTGACTAAATCCCATTTGGGGCCATTTTGCAGTGGAGCAGAGGATCCAGAGAGCTTTATCACGTCGAAATAGGAGAAGGAGCTTCTAGCCCATGGCTCTTCCCCAATGAAACCACCTCCGAGCTGAGGTCACCACTGCTGATTCTTCTTTCTTCACCACAGCCACATGCTCCACGTTTTCCTCCTCCATGCAGGAGCTCACACCACCCAGCTGTCCCCAACCATCCCCAGATGTCCCCCTCTGCTCAGCCACAACCTGGACCATCCACGGTCACATTTTGGGACCAGCTTTGGCCAGGAATCCCATCCCATAAGCAGAGGCACCTGTGCTGCAGCCAGGCTCTAATTACACACTCTGGCCGCTCATTACCAAAGCACATTAGGACGTGTAATTGCCTTATTCTTTTAAGCTTCCTTTGGCAATAGATTTATGATAATTAGCCATCAAATGAAACTACTTCTCCTTTGCACACCTCAACTGCCAGGGTGGGCAGAGAGGAGGCAACACTACGTTGGGGGCACAGGAACAGAAGTGATGTGCAGAAGGTCTCCATGCTGCTGCCTTCGAGCTGCTGCCCTGTGCCGCTGAGTACCCAAGTGTGTTTATGGAGCTGATAGGATGCTCCTCGGGCTGGCAGCCACAAACACATCTGAGCACAGGGTGATGGCACACCCATGCAGCGATGGCAGCCCTGGCTGCGAGTTTCTGCTGTGAGCGCTGCGTGGGCACGGGGTGGGGACGGCGAGTTTGGGGCGAGCGGGTTTGGCAACCCCGTTGTAGTCATAAACACAAAGCACGGGGCTGAAAGGGGAAGCGGGGCAAAGCCGTACGGGAAGACGTGCAGCGCTGCAGGGAGAAACGTCCGGGAGGAGATGAGGGTGGAAAGGGCTTGGGGAGGTCGGGAAGGAGCAGGATGCGGCCGTGCTGAGGGGTCCGGCCCCAAAGGAAGGGATGCGCTGCACCGCCCGACGGGGTGGGCGGACAGAGCTGGACGGAGGGGGGGGAGCGGAGAGCTGAGGGAGTGCGGATGCTGCGAGGGGTGGGACGGCACGGCATAGCACGGCATAGCACGGCATAGCACGGCATAGCACGGCATAGCAAGGCATAGCACGGCACGGTGCATTGCCCCGGCAGCAGCCTCACCTCCATGGCGCCGATGCGGAGCGCAGCCCGTCTCGTCCCGTCCCGTCCCGGCTCGGATCAGCACGGCGCTGCCGAGTGACGCGTGATGCGGGGTACGTCGGGAGTTGTAGTGCGGCTGCGGGACCGCCCCGTGCCGTGCTGTGCCGTGCTGTGCCGTGCTGTGCCGTGCTGTGCCGTGAACACGTCCTCGTTTGCACCCAAGCCCGACCGACCACGAGGAGGAACCCCCCACAAAGGCAGGCGCTGGGGCTGCCCCTGCCTCATTTTCCCCAGTTGTGAGCACACCTCCCAGTGCTGGGGAAGGAAATAGGGGTGTGTGTGAAGTATTGCTTTTTTAGTTCTTGGTGTGTTTATCCTGTGGCCAGATGTGGCTCTGCAGTTATTAAGGCTCCGCTTGCTGCTTGAAGTAAGGAAAACAGCAAACAAAGGATAATCCCCTTTCCCCATCCAGCAGTGTTTCTGCTCTTTGTTTCTCCTCTGCTACGATCACAAGACCCCCTTCCCCTCCACTCATTAAATCAACACCTTCTCATATGTATATTACATATATATATATATAATTTATAGAGAAATGACTTTGTAAACAATGTTCTTCTACTTCAGGAGGAAGTGTAGTCCATGGCATAACGCAGCTACAAACACAGCATCCCAGCCTGGGGCCAACCCTGCCTGACTCCCAGCGCTCAGCTGAAGCAGACAGGGCCAATGGTGAACCCAAACTGGTGCAAGGCATCACCATCGTGGAACACAGCCAGGTCCCGTAGGGGCAGCAGGGCCAGCTCCTCCGTGACGAAGTGGAAGATGGTGTCAGTGATGGAGGAGTCGTTGTCAGGCTGAAAGGACCATGAGCAGAGCTGAGACCCCCGGCTGGGCTCACCCCCTATCCCAGCTCCATCCCACCCGGATCCATGGGGATGCTCTGACCCAGCTCAATCCTGAGCCCTGGGTTTGCAGTGCTGAGGATGCTGCCACGTCCCAGTCCCGCTCACCAGGCAGCCCTGCAGCGTGGCCACGTAGCTCTGCTCCCGGGTGTCAGCCAGGAAGCGGATTTCCTTCTGGGGCTGACGGTGGTGAGGCGCGGGGCGGCAGGAATAGGAGATCTTCTGGGCAGCCCTATGGCTGTGCAGGCGCAGGAAGCGCAGCTGCACTGCGTTGGCCCCTGTGTACTCCAGCTGCAGGGACAACCAGAGAGACATGGGGTGTAGGATCCCCAAAGCCAGGATGGGATGCAACCCTATGGAAGCAAGGGTTGGGATTTGTGTTCTGCAAAATGCAGCC